TTTTTTTTACAGGAATCCACTGGTAAAATACACTCCCGCGTTATTTTGGATGCCGTCTGAAAAACTCAAAATACATCAAAAAGTACTATTTTTCGTATTCAGAGCTAAATTCCTATGAATATTAATTGAACAACTGAAATGACTTGAAAAGTTAAAAGTGCCATAAATTGGCTAGACGTTCTAGGAAATAGTAAACACTCATATCTTTTTTTTCTCTAAGTTTGTTTCGCTTTTATACAACTTACGGCTGAGTTTGGCGGCTAAAAAATGTCATTGAAAAGGTGGTTTGTCTTCTTCATTCAGCACARAAGCATCCATGAACMAGAATTAAAAMGTTTGAGGCTATCTTTTGTGAATTTCKAGCTGTTTTCGGYCAAATTATCTTCCATTTTCTTGTCCTTGTGATCCTTGTGGTCGGATTCATGAAGAAATGTGGTGAACTCGGCGATTACGAAAATACTCCGTGAAAATGTCGATGGTTCACGATAGTTCTCGCAAAGCTCACGAGTTAGAAAGTCCGAACGCTTTCCGATGTCTGCCCAGCAACCTGGTGCACACATCGGTCCATGTAATGAACATTTTACACTGAAAATCATGAGATAGTTAGGAAATCTAGCGATGTGTTATTATTTGAACGAAAATTGTCCTTTTGTGCTAATTTTCGGTGAAAAAGGAGCAAAATTATATTTGTCACGTGACCAGTGTTTCATACCTTGTCACAGACAAGTTTGTATCCCGCGAGGCCCGCGAGGCAAGGGATCAATGACGTAACATCACAGGTAACACGCAGCGCGCGCCGATTCGATAACATAATATAAGCGTGCGCATTCATTCTTTTGTTTCTCTCAAGCAATGGTTGGGTAGCCTATGTCTCGATGTGTGGGATTTACGAGAGTGCAAACTGTTTTTTTTTTTCTAAAGCTGTTATACAAACAAACCAATGATTTTTCTGAAGGTTGTTGACTATACGTTAGTGTATAACCATCTTATTTAATGTTATTCAAAAACATCCTCGACAAATAACATTGATTTTACCGATACCGCCATCCGTCATCTTGATAATGTTATTTTACCTCGCCATAATAAGAATGACGAAATAAGTGAAAAAGACCATTAAAGAGAAGCTATACGTGTTGGCTATTTTAAGAGGTGGCTTGTCACAGTTTTATCACGATTCTAGCAACTCCAGTTTGATCTTTYTCGAATTTATCATTTTGTAATAAGAAACTTATAATTTGTGAAAAAGAATTTAGACTACCCGGCGCTAATTAGTGCTGATAATATGACTCTGATGCAACTAACATGATTGAACCCGATAATGGGAAAAAAATAATGAAAAGCGATCCTTTCTTTTAATGTTATTTTATTAGTGTTTTATTTTGTATGGGACAACAAGACGCATAGACTGCATGGCGCAAATTACCGGTAAAATAAAATTAATAATGACACGGCAATTTTCTAATCGCAAGAACTAAGAAAAAACAAATTGCTGTTATAATGTGTGTGTGCGTGTCTGATTTTTAGATGTTGATTCCATTTTTATAATATTCCAAATTATTATTTATACGTCTAAAAATACTCTCGGTGATTAAGTTATATCATAATGGCCGTCGCTTATTTTTTAACGAAAAGTCTAATGAACCATGGTATACTTAAAAGTAAACCTTACTTAAGGCGCGTTTACAATTGCGATTTTTGCAGCTCGGTTATCTCGGCGATCGTCGCGCGACCATTGCCTGAGTTTCTACCCTGGTTCCATAGGTTTTCGCTTTTTTTCTAGATGTTTATTTTTAGTGTTTATCGAATTTTTGTCTTTGCTTTTTAAATCTATCGACGCGCAAAGACATATATATTATTCAAATTCCAGAAAATGTGTCTGGTGAAATGGCATACTGGGGTTTGCCATATGCTTTTCTCCACAAAATAATATCTCAAAAATTACTACATTTTCACAAAGCTTCTTAGTGTGGTTATTATTAAAAAGGAAAGAAAAGAAAGAAAAAAAACCGTTAATGAGTCGCGGTCATTTTGACAAAGTGTCTTCTTCGTTCCTCGAAACATGTCAGCGAGGGAATCAGCGAAGATTTCACAAGGATTTCCAATAGGTCTTTCTCTCAAAAACTTGAGAAATCATTAACTTATTTTTCTTTTCTTTTTTTAACCTAAGTTATATTGAACCCTGAAATATTAAAATATATGATTCACTTAGAAGTTGTTTAAAAACCAAGTAAGCTCCTTTGAAAATGCCTAGGGATATAGATTTTCCAAAATCTTCTTATTTTACAGAGATATGTATGTCACGCACCATAGTTAATGCACGCACACCCCATAAATGCTTTATTTTACACCTTATAGTACGCACTTATTACATTGTTTTCTTTTGTGTCTATTTGACTATCACACTTTGATAGTGAGCTTTGTTTCAAGGGCATAATGACCTCACTTTATTTCATGGTTTTTTTGACCTCGCTGTATTTCGTGCTCATTATATATATTTTTGAATTCATGACAATAATAGATTAACACCTGGGAATAAAGGAGGCGAAAAGTGACTTCTGTTTTACGCTTTGGGCTACGAAAAGCTAATCAAAACAACGCAGTATCTTCCGTAGAAGGACAAAGTCGGAGAAGATCAGTGAGAATTGAAATATTTTTTATATAAAAACTTCGAAGAGAAATCAGGYAAAACAGTTCGTCTCCACATCAACTTTCTTTATGTAATGGAAGTCTAATTGTAAGAGAAAAAGGATACCATTACAAAGCGAATCGATAATGTACATAACCAAAAAATTGCATCATTTCCGCGTATACATTTGTGAACCTTTACAATTCAAAAACGTTCCTCCRTGGGATTCCTTTTTCAACCATGTCTGGTTGTCAAGGAAAAAGGACGTTGTCTTTCATMATCGTTGAAAAGCCGGCTCCATCCTGTGCACTTTCTAAATTTTCCTTCCTATATTGCACTCATTTAATTGTGAAAAACTGGATTTTTTTAAGTTGCTTGCTCGAYTTTCAAAACGTGAATATTAAATGTTTTAAGGAGTGAGCGTTTTTTTATAAAGTGGATATCTTAGAAAGGTTTTCATATTTCGTCACGATCGCGACCTAAGCCTAGAAAATTGGCTCAATCTTGCTTGCCGTTTCTAGATTTCCMCATATTACCTACTTATTGTTCGCATTATTAAACAGGATGTAGATACACACTTGGTTTAATTCAAAATACTCAATTATTTCTTCAATCTCATTAACTCTGTCAGATTGCAGACATCTTGAGTAACGCCTCGAGCAAAAACAGCATCCGAGAAGCTTCTGCCGCCTTCCAGTCTTATGTAACAAATCGTAACCAACTCAAATGTTAAAAAAAACTGGAAAAAAAAATCGATTTCAGTGATATGTAAAAGTGTATGCAAATTTGGATGAAAATATTCTAGAGAAATTAAAATTATGAAAAACTAAATGAAATTGGGTTGAATTTTAATAAATAATGAGAATTCCTTTTTTCCTTTTGTCTTATCTACGTTCTTTTTAGCAGTTTTTATGTTTCACGGATTTACTGATTTCACTCTAGYATTTTTTAYACTTTCAGACTCGTGTTTGCAYTGATCATTAAACCCGTGAAACAAAACCATATGCAGGTGGTTTATAATGTTAAGCGGCTAAAAATCCGTTCCCTTTTATCATGATCGTWTTTAAATCAAATGGGATTGTCTCRTAAGCGCTATATCGATATGTAGCCGTAWCTAAGGRCACTTCCCAKTTAGACAAATCTTCTCAGACAGACAKGGATATTTTCTGGGTGAATAATCCTTTTTGTCAAGATTTTTTCCAYTGATGTTCATAGTTTCTCATAATAATGGACGAAATTTAGAAATTTCTTCCTTTGACTGGAAAGATCAGATTAATGATAAAATTCTCTTTGTTCTTGGCCAGTCAGTGCTGACAAATGGATAGAGCCCTAAAWCCTTSCACAAACGATGATGAAAATTGATCTSGAAAAAATAAGGCGATATAAAACCTCCTTGAAAACAAACCTTGTAGACAAGGAATGATACCCAGTTTTTGATATATTTGTCCACATCGCCTAAAMACRCGTTACATGTACACTAGCTTACACTATAAGTAAACGTGATTTCTGTCCGTTAGGGAAACAAACTAAACTATTGAAGACTGTCGGAGATTGYCGAAGACTATCGGGACTATATGATGAAACCTAGTGTTATATTATCGCGGTAGAAGGAAAACATCTTATTCAATGAAAATGGAAAACATTTCTTTGATGACCGATTAAAATGGACGGGGCCGAATTACCGCAATTCTAAAATGATTTTTCAATTCGTATGCAAATCGTTTCTTATGATCTTAATGTTCAAGATTATTCTACCGGCAAGTGTTTCAAGCGCGTGAGTGTGTTTAGATAATAGATTAGATGGAACAATCTTGATCAATAGAACTTTTTGAATTTACGTCTCGGCTGTCATATCAAATTAAATGGTTTGTAAAAAATAACCTTTTTTCTCACTGAGTAAAGAGTTAAAATTTTAATATTGATATTGTATTTAATATTAGCTTTACAGGATCGAGTGCAAACACTAAAATCATGAACACGTACAAACTAAATATTATTAAATAGCACAATTTAAAGTCAATCAACCCGTGAAACAAAATTTAACTTATGATAGTCAAATAGACACAAAAGAAAACAATGCAAGTAGAGCATAATGAGGTATATTAGTATAATATCTATTTCACGGGTTTTTTTACTTCAATCTAACTTAATAGTGTAGATAGGAATTTAAGTGTTGCACGGTTTTCGTGTTTGCGCTTTCAATAGCCATTTTCATAGTSTGGAGATTTTGACGCTGCATCTGATCTCCTCGTAGACTACTTCCTTTTTTTGTTTTCCYTTCTTTTTTCCCATTTCTTTTCTTTTTTCCTTTCTTTTCTTTTCTGTACTTTTTTGGGAAATACACTATATTCCTGTATTAACAAATTGAATTCATGGGATACTTGAACGACACTTACGAGGTTCTTAAAGACTCTATATCATTGATGATATTAAATGCTTCAATTGCACATTATATTGYGAAACTCAAACAATATGGCCAAATGTATTTAAATAAAAATTTTGAAGGAATATAAAAGACCAATTCAAAACGCTTTTATTAAATAAATTAGATTTTCGATAAAACTCGAGACAGTGCATTAGATATTCCATTTTTTTCTGGTAAGAAAAATACATTTGCCGGTGTTTTGAAGTAATAAAAGGGAAAAATTACTTATTAAAGAAAGCAAGTTATTTTCGATACAACTCGATATAATTTGTGCTGGTCATCTCATTTTTACGATACCATTTTTGCCGGTAAGATGGATTTTTAATGGAGTAGCGCCAGAAGGTTTAAGTGTTTTGGTTTTTTTCCGATAATATCTCAAGCGGCTTGGAATCTTAACTTGATGGCGCATTACCACCAACCTATACTACTTCATGCGACAYGTGAATAGCACACAATGCTTTGAATGAGAATTGCTCTTTAAAACTCTTCGCGGCCATGGTATTAAACTTCATTTATACAATTTTATATGATGCAATTGTTTTGGTTATATTCTGAACAAAAGCTCAATAGGATTTCTTTGATTGTTCGCCTTTTATTAAATGTTATATTGGATCTACTTAACTGAAATTATTTACGTTTTCATTTAATCATATATATTTATGCTCAGAAATAAGATTATAATAACTAATATGATGATAAATTTAGTTTTGATTTACTATATATTACAAAAATATACCGCAGGAATACATGTTTTAGTTATTTTTTTTTTCTTTTTAGAGATGTAAATATAGTGTTTTGTTTCCATTCTTAATCATTGTGAAGCATAGAAACACTGTAATATGCTATGTTAAATTATTATTATTTTTATGTTTTACTCAAACAATAAAGAAGAAGAAACGGTATATTTGAAATATTTCTTTAATGCACATGACATAGTCACAAGAACTTGAATAACCTGCCTTTTTTACTTTGTTGTAATTATTTATAATTGTCTCTGCTTTATGTTACTGTTTGTGAATAGAAGTCGTTTTCTTTTTACTGTACAATGAAAATGATTGGCTAGTATTTGTCGGTAAACAGAAAAMGAAAACAATAGATTCAGAGCCCGTGATACCAACAATTAGTCTCGCTAATCTATCACAGTCAAATGAAAACGACTTTAAAATACTCACATGTTCAACTGCAATATTTTAACATGTCTAGCGAACTGTGAGGTCTATTTGTTCCTGTCAGTGATTGGAAAAAAAAAGAGACATATTCGAACATAGTTATTTATATCGTACGCGAGACATTTTGGTATTTGAAAATGGGTTTTATCGCTGGCTTGTAGGTATTCATTTATGCAAAAAGCGGGGGAATTTTAGGCAAAGCTGTCGGCCAACTTCTGCTTGTGCCCACGATTTAAAACATATAATTGCCGAACACATTTCCAAAAATTTTCAATGTCATGTGAGCAATTTATGCAAACTGTGTAAAGGGGGAATTCTCGCGGGAAAATATTGTTTCCAGAGTTACCAGTTTATTCAGCGAAAACAGGGTGAAATATAACGGGTTAGAAMGTAAAATTTAGAACAGTTTTTAGCAATTTTTCAATTGTTAGCATGAATTTTGCAAGATTTCATGCCATTTACACATATGAATACCTTTCTGAAAAAGTCTTTTGAAAGAACATTAATTGTGTTTTAAGACCACGGATATTTGAATACATAGAATAGGTTTTGTTTTCTTACTAGTATATTAAATGCACATCAATCAACTTTTTCACGAAAAAGTAATTGCTCTACCGAGATGACAGTTCCTAAAAAAAACAGCACTCAACGGGCATTAATCGTATGCGCGTGCCACATGCTTCTCTGATTGGTARGAAGGCAGTGTTTATTAGTCATGTAGGCGGTCGAATTCCCTGATTACCAGAGCGATAAAAACTATACGTCTCAACATGCTAATGCAACTCTCATGCAATATTTAGCGTCTTCATTTAGGAAGCCAAATGTTGAGCCAGTAGGATTTCACGGCTGTTTTCGTCTGAACCCTTCTGGTGTGCCGTTGATACTGTTTCGCTGTCACAACAATTGTCTAGAAAGTACGCCTTGTGTTTATTAAAGCGTTGTTTGGATTGGCGCCATGCGTCTTCGATAGCCGAGATATTTTTATAACGTGTTTCAGAGGCTATTCTGGATTAAGATAACGATTGAACGCTGAATTGACGCTTGTCACTGCAGATCTTATATAAGTCTCCTAATTTGGCCATAAAGCATTCACAAGCTTCAAGGTAGCGACGACGTTTTACAGACTAAGATTTACAATCATGGAAAATGGGAGTGATAGTTATTTTACCCATAAAAATGATTCTTTAGGATCTAACGAGACAATTTTGGACGCCTTGCCATACGATTCAAGAACATCTAAAGGTTTTAAGGTGTTAGCTTATGTTTTGGTCCTCGTTGCATCGGTCATGGGAAATCTCTTCGTAATCTACGCCATCAAGAGAGACTATCGCGGCAAGCTGCGCAGACGATTTACGTACTTAATGATTACAAGCATAGCTGTTTCAGATCTCTTAATGGCAGTGGTAAGCGTCCCGGAGCGTATAACTCGTGTTCTTTCTGCGGACGAGTGGATGCTTGCAGGTAGTCTGGGTTTGGTGCTTTGCAAAGTCGTTAACTTTGTAGAGAAGGTTTCCATCACAGTGTCGGCCCTTCACGTCACCGCACTAGCAACACATCGCTTCATGGCTATTTTTTACCCTCGAAGAACTTCCAAATCTCAAAACTGTCGTCTTGCAGCAATATGTATGTCAATGGTGTGGTTATTTGGCTCGCTCTACTGGTCCCCAGTCTTATACTATGGTGGATTGTTATCGCTGCCTAACCCACCAAGGTTGTATTGTAAAGTTCGATACTTTTACACACATTGGCGGTTCAGCTATCTGGCTTTTCTAATTCTACTTCTAGGTATTCTGGTCGTCGTCCTTGTCCTTTATGCCGCAATTTGGTTTAAATTATCCTGCAGCAAGACGCTCCGAGATGAAAGTATTTCCATCGCAGCTGAAATGCGACGTAAGACAACAGCAATGGTCGCAGTCATAGTTGCTTCGTTCTACTGTTGTTTTTTGCCTTATTGGATTGGTTGGATCTTGTGTTCCTACCAGCACGTTTTTTGCAACCATATTTTCACCTTTATCTCAATATATCTGACGCACGCCAGCGTTGCTGTGAATCCAATCATCTGTCTGATATTTAGCCGGCATTATCGAGACGCTTTGAGAGAACTCTTAACTTCCTCATCCAGTTCTCAGGCCGTAATAAGGCAAAAAAGGACTAAGCTGTAACCAAGAAAGATTATTCCTCAAAAACAAAAAAAGAGTAGAGGATTTAAATTAGAAAAATTTAATAACTAACTTATCGCTTTTTTTGTTGCTATTTACTTGTATTACGGAGAACCAAGTGATTTATGTTATAGTGAAGCTTTAGGTAAAACATTTGGCTCTTATGTTTGTGTCATTTAGAGTAGAAACATTTAGAATCACTGAATACCTATAATATTGAATATTTTGAGTTTAAATCAGGAGAAATTAAGTCATTGCAGATGTACAGACTCTGGGAATTTGAAGTTGATCAAGTTATATTTGAACGACAGCCGTTCCTACCTTATTTCCATAAGAAAGCAAAGCGCAATTTAGATAAGAATGAATTTGAAATAGAAAAGCATAGATCGGAAGCGATATTGAGACTGCAGTTATTCTGAGTTCTTGAATTTTTGGAAAGACGACATTTTCAAAAATGGTATAAAATAAGAGGAACACCTTAAATAGTCAAGATGTGAGAGATATCTAAACTAAACACGACTGGCATTTTCGACGAAGGCTTAAGTTGATACAATTAACGTTATAATAAAAGCAAACAGTTTTTAAGATTATAATAGATCACTGCATATAGAGAAATATCTTTGTCTAGCTTATTTTTAGGAAAATTTGACTGAAAAATCCAAACTTGTTTCAGGGAAATAATTAACAAAAAATAAAAAAATAAACAAAAGAGAGAGCTAGAGAACTACCCAGTGYGAAAAATACCATGAATCCTAGAGAAATTGTTTTTATTCCCTTTTGTTTGAATTATTATTCTAAACTAATAGGTTCGTCTGGAAAAGCTATTTATTCAAAATTGAACAAACGYAYTCCGAGAAGGCGAATATCAGACATTCAACCATCAATTAAAAAAAGGMCGAGTTTTTTTCATTCAAAACCGAGACTTTCAAGCAAGATGATCACTATTTTGTTCTTAGCCTRAAACAGGTGTTATCAACTGTTTATTTTTCTGCTTGTGCTCCAACCAGCAGGTTTTAGTTCGCCCTGGGAAATATCTAAACTTAATTGAAGGGCAACATAGATAAGGACCTCCAGTGAATTCATATGTCATGAGGTGYTGAAKCAGAGAAAGTATTTCTACATCTTTTTGCCATTAATTAAGCTATTGCATTCGATGTCTCTGTGAATTCTAATTCAAAATGAATGTTATTATCCGCTATTGATATGGATCAATAATTCATTGTGATTTAGTGAATTATTCGCAGTTTAATTGGTATTTTTATTTCCTTCTAATTCAAACTTTAGTACAGAAGTTTTTTGATTTTTGCATTTTCGTTTTTTCTCCTGATATTTTAGATCAGATTTTGTTCGGCTTTTTTTAGGAATTAAAATGTTTCAGATTAAATTTTAGCTTTATTACACGAGAACTCACTTTGAATCTTAAATTGCAGTTTTTCGGTTGTTTATTCAGCATAGTTTCATTTTGTTGCTATAAAAGTAAAAAAAATGAATGTTTTGAACTTCAAGCTCGTAGTTTTTGGAAATGTTTCTCTCCATTTTCGGATGTTTTGACTTGTTTTTCGCTTTATTTGTTCTCATTAATTCTGTTTTTTGTTTTACCCAATTGCTTTACGCAGAACGCGTAGTATAGTTTAGTTTTTCTAAATTGAAACTGAAACTGAAACTGTTTTATTGCTCTTTTTTGCTTTTAACTTGACAGAAAAAAGGTGCTTGTAATAAAAAGATAAATAAGTATAGAAAATATGCAAATTATTGTAAAAGAAACAGTTGTGTAAAAAGTTTTAACACCGTAAAAAAGTAGATGAAACTACTTACTGACGTTTCGGACGTTAATCCTTCGTCGGATTCATTAGTTTTTTCTAGACTTCGTCTATTGTTTACCGCAACTTTTATCAAAGTATTGCTTTATCCGTACGAAATCGCAGTTGTTTTGATAACCAGATGACTACAGCCAGACTGATTTGGAAAATAGACAACCAATTGAAAGGGCCATACCCATCCAACATGCTCTGCTGTCGTGGCTGGTTTTTTTTT